CGTTTCAGTTAAATTATTTAATTGACATTTACACTTACTTTGTCTTGCATATTCTATTAACTCTTTGACTGTCGCAACCTTAAATCCCGAGGTGTCTCCCGGTGTCGCAAAATATTTGGAGAAAAAAAATAAATTATTTTTTTCTTATGAAATGAAAAAGAATGTTTGCCTGATGGTAATGACACCAAAAGTACGAAATTTGATGGAAAACTTACGGAATTACGCTCTTGCGAAGTTAGTGACCTCGGCGACATTTACGCATCAGTGATTTCGCCCACTTTGAGCCCTATTTTCGGTCAATTTCATTGTTCCAATCCACTAAACTCATAGCTAGTTCTTTAGAACTTCATTTGTTTTATTGACTGAGTACAAGAAACCGCCCATTTACCAATTTCAACTACCCAGTAAAGTGGTCAGAAATTGGCAATTTCACCAATTTCATGCAAATTAAAAAATATGCCAATTTTAAAATAGGGTCCAGAATGAACAATGCAGACATTCCTAACACTAAAATAACATTTTCTCCGTTCATCAGCCACGTCTCCAGGCCACTGCTATAATCCTCTTGCTTTCTATTTTGAATTTTTATTCACACAAAAAATAGAAGATTTACTGTTATGCAGACTACTGCAATATTGTAATAATTGTATAAATAATGTCAATGCATTTGTGACTGCATATTAGAATGGCTAGTTGGACATTTATTGGACAATGACATCATTTGTTTACTCTTGAACATTGACAAAAATCGAACATTTCCGCTAATCTGAGTTCAATTTCAAGGTACTTTTCATCGTGAAACCAATGAAAATCATCTCTATTTCTGTAATACATCTTCCATTCTGTCAAATGAGACCAAGAAAACAAGAATACAACCATAAATACTATACAAAAATACACCTCAAAGTCAGCATTTTAATCCAAAAAAACACGGTCGAAGTTTTTTTTTTATCTCATTATGTACTGCGTGCTGCAGGATTTTTTTTTTGTACTGCGCACACTGACCACACAGACCCATTCTCTCACATGTGGGCCTACCACACACTGGCTCGTAAGACGTACATATACGACCAAAACAGTCAAAGGGTTAACCTTTCGTTGTCAGTCCCATTGTATCACGGTTTTGAAGCCAGTGTCGGTCCTGGTCCCATAGCACGATGCCACGAGCTCAGCTCACTCAGATAAGTTGTGAGTGGGCCTTGATATGAGAGAATGGGTCTGTATGTTAAGTGCGAACCATAAAAAAAAAAATCCTGCAGCACGTAGTGCATGAGAAAAAACTGCGACTGTGTTTTTAGTTTAAAACAGTGACTCTGCGATGCATTTTCACATGGATTTTATGGTTGTATTCATGGTTTCTTGGTCTTATTTGATAGAAAGGAAGGCATATTACAGAAATAGAGATGATTCTGATTAGGACTAAAAGTAGCCAGTTAAATATGCATTTAGGAATGCACTGACATTATTTATACAATTATAATAATGTAGTAGTCTGCATAACAGTAAATCATCTTTTTGTGTGAATAAAAATTCAAAATGAAAAGCAAGTGCAATATAAGAGGGGCCTGGAGACACGACCAAGGAACAGAAGAAATGTTTATTTAGTGCCAGGAATGTTTACATTGTTTATTCTGGACCCTATTTTCAAATTGGCAATTGCTGAGTTTTGTATGAAATTTGCTAAATTACCAATTTCTGATCACTTTATTGGGTAGTTGAAATAGGTAAATGGGCGGTTTCTTGTACACAATCGATAGAAGGAACACTAGTGAAATAGCTACAAGTTTGGTGGACTGCAACAATGGAATTGGCCAAAATTAGAGCGCAAGGTGGGCAAAATCGCCGATGCGTAAATATTGTCGAGACCGCCAACTTTGCGAGAGCATAATTCCATAAGTTTTCCATCAAATTTCAGACTTTGGTTTCATTACCTTCAGAAAAGGATTTTTCATTTTTTGAAAATTCGACACTGGGAGCAAGTTTGAGAGCAGAGGGTCTCGACAGTGAACGGGTTAAATGAAAAGCCTTCTGCACAGGTTAAACTATCCAAGAAGTTTCCTATAACCAGCTGTTTCTATTATATATAATTCTGACAGTACACCCTCAATTTATCAGACTTATAGAAGGAAGTCAGTAATGACAATTGCAGTGGTCAGAGATAAGATTGTTTTGCCATAATCATAAAAAACAACTCTGCAACCAACAAACTGTCCTTAAAAAATTGAAACTGACCCAATGAATTTTGTTCCATAAATTTTAGGTCCTTTAAATCAAGGGCTTATTGTATTTATTATTATTATGTGCTAAACCCATTGGGGTCATACAGCACCTGCATAAAATTGTATAACATACCTTTAACCAGTTTCAGAATTCTCTACACTATTTTCACCTGAAGCCAAGTTGCAACTTTATTTTCATGAAGGATCAAAATAACAGTAAAATTAAAATTTTTTTATTTTTGATGTTCATATATTGCACAAATACATTTGACATGCATCTTTTTTTTTTAAATAGTATAGTCTATATGATTAGTTTGCCCAAAATGCACTGCATATTAATTGCTTTCTTTTGTGCCTACCATTGTTTTATTACATGTAAACTACATTATTTTTCTACAACAAAGAAATTAAAAATTGAATTTGAATGATTGTTAGCTGTTCTGTAATGTAGCAGGGATTCCTATTCTATGATTCAATTTTATACAATACAATTAACACAACTATAGCCCCCTAACTAACACTTTAGTGTGCCTCTCATGTTCACAATACTGTGCTCAATTCCCAATACCAAAAATAATATTTGCAGTTGGTGTACAGCAAAGACACTGGCACTTCAAATCAATGATGTCAGCAAAAATATCCAGGGGGAAAATTCAGAAACTTCTTAAAATGTGAGTTATCCAAAGATGTAATTTAAGTTTAGGTTAGGTTATGGGTCATTCCATGTCAAGTGGACCAATTTTGAAAATCGTCCCTGCCTGCCCATCTCCAATTTCAATATTATTATTATTATTATTATAATAAAAAAGAAGTGCTAAGCCACAAGGGCTATACAGCGCTGCTCCAATTTCAATAAAATTTTACGTGAAGGCTGGCATGTATATCAAACTAATGGGAAAAATTTAGCTCATATGCAACAGTAGTAATACTATGGCCCTCAGGGAGGAGGGTGAAAATTTCTCCAAGCTGCAGCAAACAATCAATGATGTTCAGGTTATTGCTGTGGCAAATCTTGAAGAGTAAAATTTATACAAGTAGATATGCCTATATGAGGCCTGGTCACAGACCAGGCCGTGGGGGTATTGACCTCAGAAACCCTCTACAGGTATTCACCAGGTATACAACTTTTGGAGCTGATTTCAAAAACTGCAGTCCTAAAACTTAAATGTCTACTTTTTTCACAGTATGCAACCAAAATAGGCAAAATGTGTCATGTAAAACTGAATTTTGAATTCAGCTGCCTGTATCTCGAAAGGAAAACATTTTAATATGACATTATTGTAGCCAGCTACCCAATCCTAAAATATCAAGACCCCAAATGTTTTTAACTCCTGTGCAAATGGTACCTAAAAATGCCCTCAGAACCCTCATGGTGAATTTTAGGCCATTTCTGAAGACCAATAGCAAAAAACGGAGCACAACCAATTTTCTTAGAGCAGATTCTAGACTACAAGATATTTATTTTCAGGATAGGTGTTTTGCCCTTGAAGGGAGGAAACAGGCCTTAAAATAAGGTCATTTTTGGCTTGTGCAACGTTATAATGAAAACCAGATATTTTTCAGTTGCTGTTGTAGAGCAACGACAACTAGAACCTCGTGTTTAGGTGTCCTTATACAGGATAACACGAAGTCAAAGAATGTGACTCATTTCCACTAGGGGCCCTGAAATCCCAAATAACAATTTACACGAGAAATAAGTAACTTATTCCAAGATGTACCTCGGTTGTATATGTGAACTAAAAAATGTAATGTCCAAGTTGCACAGAGTTGCTGATAACTATTGCAGAAATAACTATTCATTCTGTGGAGTAGATATTATAATTAAAACTAAGCACTAAACCCACAAGGGTCATATGGCTGTGAAGTAGACAGCATGCATTTAATATGCAATGCAAAATAATGTCCAAGTTCCACTGAGCAGCAACTTTCAATGACTGCCTAATTTAATTTATATTTAGGTTTAAGTTAGTGCTCCTGAATGGTTTCACTAAGTTTTCACAGAGAACTTTTTGCCAGTAGGATATCAGAGACGATCAGATAGACCATTGTATAAGTGTAAAGAAATCTGCAAGATCACTTGTAATTTCCTCCATTAACTTTCTTATGCCAGTAGCTACTTCTTTCCATCCCAGAGCACCAAAATATATGATGCATAACCTTACTGAGTCTAGTTAGGATGAGCAGGAGAGAGTAGGGTTATAACAGTCACAAGTGTGTAATAATGGCTGCAAACACCGAAAAATGACAAGAAAATCACTTATAGCAAAGAACATTTTATTTATGCTATAAAAGGTTCCTTTGCTCTTCCTAATACTCGCACAAGTGTTGGGTGGGCGGCCCCTGCCCACCACACTCTCCATACGTTTCTCTTGACACTGACAGCCTCCATAGCTCCAGCTAAAAAACTTATTGCCTCATTATTTACGAAAATTCTCTTGTCAAATTTTGAAATGTTTACAATTGTTATGGAGAGGAGAGAGCGAGGCCCGGTAGCCGGCAAGGTCAAACTTGAGGCTGATAATAAAGCTGTGGTCATAAAATAGTATGTGTAATATTGGTAGAGCAGGCAGCAAACACCAGGAGGCAGACCAGCGCCAGAATAAAGTTAAGAGTTAATACTAGTAGTGTCTGGCGAGGTGTGGCGTCTGTGTCTAGGAGGGTCACCGAGAACCACCACAACACACTACACTTTTCACCACCTATATTACCCTATTACCCAATTATAACACCTTCCTCACACTCTTTGTACATTAATAAAATGGCAGAAGCATATTTACTTACCAAACACAGGCAGGAAGGGGCGTTATTGAGAATATTCCACGTTAGTTACAGCGACCGATGGGAGTAGTCGGAAGTCCTGGCTGTTTACACCACAGTTGCCAACATTGTCTTATAAAAATTTATGAAAATGCTGCCGCCTCTAGAATATCCGCAGTATTTACTCGGTAATGGCGTGATATTTAAAATTTATTATTTGTGGTTTTGTTAGATATTTTAGGTGGAGCGGAATTAAAAACAGGAATGAGAATAATAAGGAGAACAAAGAAGCCTTGGCGGCCGCCGCCATCTTGATGGCTAGAACTGGCAACGTGAGGTTCCAACACTCCATTATGTCGCCACTACTACCTCCAACATCACCACTACCTAAACAACACTACAACTACCTTCAACATCACCACTACCTTAACAACACTACAACTACCTCCAACATCACCACTACCTTAACAACACTACAACTACCTCCAACATCACCACTACCTTAACAACACTACAACTACCTCCAACATCACCACTACCTTAACAACACTACAACTACCTCCAACATCACCACTACCTTAACAACACTACAACTACCTCCAACATCACCACTACCTTAACAACACTACAACTACCTTCAACATCACCACTACCTTAACAACACTACAACTACCTCCAACATCACCACTACCTTAACAACACTACAACTACCTCCAACATCACCATTACCTTAACAACACTACAACTACCTCCATCACCACTACCTTAACAACACTACAACTACCTCCAACATCACCACTACCTTAACAACACTACAACTACCTCCAACATCACCATTACCTTAACAACACTACCACTACCTCCATCACCACTACCTTAACAACACTACCACTACCTACAACATCACCACTACTTTAACACTACAACTACCTCCAACATCACCACTACCTTAACAACACTACTACCTCCAACATCACCACTACCTTAACAACACTACAACTACCTCCAACATCACCACTACCTTAGCAACACTACAACTACCTCCAACATCACCACTACCTTAACACTACCACTACATCCAGCATCACCACTACCTTAACAATACTACAACTCTACTACTACCTCCAACATCACCACTACCTTAACAACGCTACCACTACCTCCAACATCACCACTACCTTAATAACACTACAACTACCTCCAACTTCACCACTACCTTAATAACACTACAACTACCTCCAACATCACCACTACTTGAACAATACTGCAACACTACCACTACCTCCAACATCACCACTACCTCAACAACACTACAGCTGCCTCCAACATCGCCACTGCTTTAACAATACTACAACACTACTACCTCCAACATCACCACTACCTTAACAACACAACAACTACCTCCAACATCACCACTACCTTAACACTACAACATCACCACTACCTTAATACTACAACACTACCACTACCTCCAACATCACCACTACCTTAACAATACTACACTACCTCCAACATCACTACCATAACAACACTACAACTACCTCCAACATTACTACCTTAACATTACTGCAACACTACTACTACCTCTAACATCACCACTACCCTATCATTACTATTACAGGGCAATGAACAGGCAGACACTGCTGTGCGATCAGCAGTACATGACCTCCAACTTCCATATAGAAGTGTTCCATTCACAGACTATTTTTCTGTAATTGCTACCCATCTTCGCACCCGTTGGCAACAATGTTGGTCTGATCTGCTCCATAACAAACTTTATTCTGTTAAGCCGAGTATAGGTTTCTGGCCGTCTTCTTGTCATCAGTATCAAGGTTGGGAGACTACTCTCTCCTGTCTTCGCATCGGCCACACTCGTCTTACTTACGGGTATTTATTTATTTATTTATTTATTAATTCGAACATGATACATAGAAGTACAAGGAAATACAGTGGTTAAGTGTAACATGCCAAAGCCCCTTGTACGCAGAGCATTATGGGCAGGCTTAAAATTAACTTAAGATTAACTAAGTACTGACATATTCATTGGTAAACATTGTTGTAAACAGTTAACAATTAAGCACAAATGAGTATTTCAAAGATGGGTCCTACACAGATGACAGCAAGGAAATGAGTGAGCTACTCAAGTCCCAATATGACTCAGTTTTTAGCAAGCCGCTAACCAGACTGAGAGTCGAAGATCAAAATGAATTTTTTTATGAGAGAGCCACAAAATTTGATTAACACAAGCCTATCCGATGTTATCCTGACGCCAAATGACTTCGAACAGGCGATAAATGACATGCCCATGCACTCTGCCCCAGGGCCAGACTCATGGAACTCTGTGTTCATCAAGAACTGCAAGAAGCCCCTATCACGAGCCTTTTCCATCCTATGGAGAGGGAGCATGGACACGGGGGTCGTCCCACGTTACTAAAAAACAACAGACATAGCCCCACTCCACAAAGGGGGCAGTAAAGCAACAGCAAAGAACTACAGACCAATAGCACTAACATCCCATATCATAAAAATCTTTGAAAGGGTCCTAAGAAGCAAGATCACCACCCATCTAGAAACCCATCAATTACACAACCCAGGGCAACATGGGTTTAGAACAGGTCGCTCCTGTCTGTCTCAACTATTGGATCACTACGACAAGGTCCTAAATGCACTAGAAGACAAAAAGAATGCAGATGTAATATATACAGACTTTGCAAAAGCCTTCGACAAGTGTGACCATGGCGTAATAGCGCACAAAATGCGTGCTAAAGGAATAACAGGAAAAGTCGGTCGATGGATCTATAATTTCCTCACTAACAGAACACAGAGAGTAGTCGTCAACAGAGTAAAGTCCGAGGCAGCTACGGTGAAAAGCTCTGTTCCACAAGGCACAGTACTCGCTCCCATCTTGTTCCTCATCCTCATATCCGACATAGACAAGGATGTCAGCCACAGCACCGTGTCTTCCTTTGCAGATGACACCCGAATCTGCATGACAGTGTCTTCCATTGCAGACACTGCAAAGCTCCAGGCGGACATCAACCAAATCTTTCAGTGGGCTGCAGAAAACAATATGAAGTTCAACGATGAGAAATTTCAATTACTCAGATATGGTAAACATGAGAAATTAAATCTTCATCAGAGTACAAAACAAATTCTGGCCACAAAAATAGAGCGAAACACCAACGTCAAAGACCTGGGAGTGATCATGTCGGAGGATCTCACCTTCAAGGACCATAACATTGTATCAATCGCATCTGCTAGAAAAATGACAGATGGATAATGAGAACCTTCAAAACTAGGGAGGCCAAGCCATGATGACACTCTTCAGGTCACTTGTTCTATCTAGGCTGGAATATTGCTGCACACTAACAGCACCTTTCAAGGCAGGTGAAATTGCCGACCTAGAAAATGTACAGAGAACTTTCATGGCGCGCATAACGGAGATAAAACACCTCAATTATTGGGAGCGCTGAGGTTCCTAAACCTGTATTCCCTGGAACGCAGGAGGGAGAGATACATGATTATATACACCTGGAAAATCCTAGAGGGACTAGTACCGAACTTGCACACGAAAATCACTCACTACGAAAGCAAAAGACTTGGCAGACGATGCACCATCCCCCCAATGAAAAGCAGGGGTGTCACTAGCACGTTAAGAGACCATACAATAAGTGTCAGGGGCCCGAGACTGTTCAACTGCCTCCCAGCACACATAAGGGGGATTACCAACAGACCCCTGGCAGTCTTCAAGCTGGCACTGGACAAGCACCTAAAGTCGGTTCCGGATCAGCCGGGCTGTGGCTCGTACGTTGGTTTGCGTGCAGCCAGCAGCAACAGCCTGGTTGATCAGGCTCTGATCCACCAGGAGGCCTGGTCACAGACCGGGCCGCGGGGGCGTTGACCCCCGGAACTCTCTCCAGGTAAACTCCAGGTAATTGAGTTTTTGCATAGTGTGAGATGGACATGAGGAACATCAAAGAGTGATCTGTGCCTTGTGTTATGGTCATGTGTTCTCTTGAGGTTGGTAAGGAGACGTTTGAGGGGAGGGTTTATATCCGAGTTAAGTTTTCTATGTATGAAGTAGGTACAATAATAAGTATGGATGTTTTGTATGGTGAGTAGGTTTAGAGTTTTGAATACTGGTGGAATGTGCTGCCTGTAGTGGGAATTTGTTATCATTCTGACTGCAGCCTTTTGTTGGGTAATTAATGGCGAGATGGCTAATTGTTGTTGAGCCCCATTCACAAATTCCATAGGTGAGATAGGGGTAAATAAGTGAGTGATATAGGACCAGGAGGGCTGACTGTGGAACATAGTACCGTATCTTCGATAGTATGCCTACGGTCTTGGAAATTTTCTTGGAAATTTGTTGTATATGTGTTTAAAATATGAGTCTATTATCAAGGTGGATTCCTAAGAATTTTCCCTCTGTGAGCTTTGTGATAGGTGATCTGTTTACCATTATGTTAAGAGGGACATCTGTAGCTCTGTTACCAAACTGAATGAAGTAGGTTTTGTCAATGTTGAGAGTAAGTTTGTTAGTCCTCATCCAGGTAGACATTTTCTGTAATTCGGTATTCACAGTATTGGCTAGCATGACTGGGCTCGGGTGAGAGAAGACGTTTGTAGTGTCATCTGCAAATAGTGTGGGTTTGAGTAGTTGCGATGCATTTGGTAAGTCATTTATGTAAACGAGAAAGAGAAGAGGGCCAAGGACACTTCCCTGTGGGACACCAACTGTAATTGGCTGTGCGGAAGAGTTTGCTCCATTTGTGTACACATATTGGCTTCTGTTGCTGAGGTATGACTTTAGGTAGTTGAGGGAGTGCCCTCTTATACCATAGTGCGACAATTTTATGTGGAGCAAGTCGTGGTCAACTATATCAAAAGCTTTACGTAAATCAATGAAGATTCCCAGTGGGACTTCTTTTTTCTCTATTGCAGTGTATATTTGTTCTAGCATGTGTATAATAGCATCATTCGTATTTTTATTAGGCCTGAACCCAAACTGACAGGGGTTATGTATGTTGTTGGAGATGAGATAGGAATAGATTCGCTTATGAATTAATTTTTCGAAGATTTTAGAGAGAGGGTGTAAGTTGGATATTAGCCTATAGTTATTCAAGTCTGGTCTCCTCTATAGATCGGGGTGACCCTCGCTATTTTGAGAACTGTAGGGAAGGTAGAGGATTCGATGGATTTGTTAAAGAGTGTTGCAATGATTGGTGACAGCACTTGCGACACTTTTTTGTATATAAAGGGTGGTGAGGTATTTAAATCTCCTGTCTTTGTTTTTTAGTGTGTTGATAATAAGGGAGACTTCTATTGGGTTAG